AGGAGCTATCATCAGCTTAGAGGGAGGCGTCTTGGGGGCCTTGCTGAGCCAGACAACACTTAGAGGGGCTTCTTCCTCTCTCAGAATGGTATGTAGCAAAACCTAGACTAGATGATGTATCACTCGGGTCCTTCTTTGCAGTTCTAACATCCTATGACCTTATGGAATTCAATCACACAAAATAAATTGCAAATGAAATCTCAGTTCCTCAGAGAACTCTTAAGTTTCCAAGATGCCATTCTTGACCACTTTAAGAAAATACCTAATTTTTCTATTTAACCTTAGAACAGCCCACGTATGTCTTGTAAACTTTAGGTTACCACAGCTTCCTCATCAGTGAAATGGGTAGGTTGGGATAAATGATCACCAAGGCCCTTTCTGTTTCCAGTACTAGGTGATTCTTTGTCTCTCTATTAAATGATTTTTCCAGGACCTTTATATTACACCTACTGTACCCAGCAGATGTGGCTAAAGATGGCTTCACAGCTGCCCATTCTAATAACCAAACAATTACCAACTGAGTCATTTCCTAGAAGGGCTATTGTATTATACCATCTCCCTCTGCTTTTGTCAAGCAGACTTCATCATAATACTTGGCCAGTCAATAAACATTTATTAAGTGTCTACTGTGTGTCATGCACTGCATTAAACAGTGAGAATGCAAAAAGAGGCAAAAGGAGCTTACACAAGCAAATAAAGAAGGAATAATTCAAAGCAGGAAGGTGCTAGAATTAAGAGAGGTTGGGAAAGGCTTCCTGTAGAAGACAGGATTTTTAGTTGGGACTTGAAGAAAGCCAGAGATGCCAGGAGGTGGAGATTAGGAGGGAGAGCATTCCAGGTGTGGGGGACAACCAGAGAAAGTGCTCAGAGATGAGAGATGGAGTCTGTTCTTGGAATAGCCAGGAGGTCAGTGTCACTGGAGTAAAGAGTATGTGGCAGGAAGTAAGGTGTAAGATGATTGGAAAAATAGGGAGGTGGGGTGGGTAGGTTATGAAGGGCTTTGAACATCAAATAGAAATGAATGGAGGATAGATTGGAGTGGGGAGAGACTTGAGGCATATCAGTAAGTTGGAACAATGAGCTGAAAATAACAAGATGAAACTCAACAGGGATAAATAAATGTAAAGTCTTGAACACTGGTTCAAAAAGTCAAAAGTCTAAGTACATAATGAAGAAGATCTGTCCTAATACTCTGTCCCAATTCATGTGGAAAAGGCTAAAGGATTTAACTTGACTGAAAGCAAGCTCATTGTGATCCACTGCTAACACGTTTCCTTCAAGGAAAGGCTTTACTAATAGAAGTAAAGGTGACAATCTTCAATCTTCAAAGATGACAATCTCTGTTCTTTGAACTAGTTAGCACATACATGGAGGATTTTGTGCAGTTCTAGCTAGCATTTTAAAACAAACATTGATAAACTGGAGTATGTCACAAAGATGATAAAAGGCTTGGAAACCACGGTGTATGAGGAACAATTAAAATAACTGAAGAGGTTTTCCTATCCTTGAAAAGAGAAGCAGAGCATACCTGTCTTTATGTGTGTGAAGGGTGGTGATATAGAAGAGGGATCCTATGTAGCTCAGGAAGAAAGAAGTAGGCTAACTTAAAAAGGTAGTAGATGAGAAGCTCATTAGGGACAGGAACCATCTTCTTTTTTGGTCTTTGTAGCCTCCATGCATGACTGGTAAAAGTTTGAGTAGGCAGATTTTAGCTGAACAGAAGGAAGAACCTTTTCACAATGAAAGCTAGTCAGAAAAGGAATGGATTGCTTTTGGAGGTAGAGGGGTACAAGCAAAGGCTGTCAGGGATGTTGGAGGGGGATTCCTGAGTCAGGTGGACTCAAAGGTCTTTTTCAACTCCAAGATTCTATGGGTCCAAGAAGAATATGAGCAGAAGATTTTCATATCTGCCATAGTTAATTTTAAAACAATCCTCAATTTGGTAAGATGCAGCACAATACCACACATCAGTCATGATAATCAATTCAAATTTTCAGAGGATACACTTGGGGGAAAAATACTTGAATCTTACTTGTTTGAACCTGCTTCTCCTCTTATGTTCCCCGAACACTCTATTCAGAACTTGGTGAACTTACCTTTACTTAATTGATCAGTTTCCCAAGGCATACAAACTAGGCTAATTCAAAGGGTTTTAGAAACTTTTATTATTCATTTGATCACACTCTATGGAGCAATTAATAAGTGCTTTGTTTTCAGGTAATGCAGGAGGAGCTACGGAAAACAAAAAAGACCTAATGTCATAAAAGAACAAGACTTAATAGCTAGTTAGGAAGTCCTTACTCAACCCCATAATCCACAACTACCCTTTCTCTAACCCTAAATACTGGTTTTAATAAGCCATTTAAAAAAATTTGTGTTTTTTTTTAATTGTGAGGAAGTTAATGACATGTAAATGAGGGCTAGATAAGATGTGTAAGACCAAGTTGTGGGGGAGGAGACAGACAGATAGAAACAGACTCAGAGACAGAGACAGAGAGAGCACGAACAAAATTGATTGGTTTTCAACATCTCTCTATTGCCCTTGGACAATATGTAATCCACAGAAAAGAAGCAGACAATATTTTAATTTTGCCAAAAATAAGAATGGGTAAATGTGTTAAGACAAGTTTATAGATGGAGAAAAATATTGAGAAATAGTATATGGGTATGCCCCCTAAATATTAAGAACATTTTCATAGTTGGCAGCTTTTAAAATGTTATCATCTTTCGCAAATATTTAGTTTAGCAAGATTTTGTGTTCCCTATGTTGAAGTGGAACTTTCTACATAGAATAAGATTTGCGCTTAATACGTTCTACCACTTTCAACATGTGATTTGATAAGTTAGGTGTGTGTGTGCATACATACACACATATATACATACACAGATGCACACACACACATACATACCTAACCTAACCCCTCCTCCCCACCCCACACTATATCACATTCTAACTTCAGTTTCAGGGAACTACACTAGTGTTATGCCCACATCAGCAAATGACTTTAAATGACTGATAAGTATACAAATAAACATATACAGAGACTAGAAGGATGATTGTCCTTTTGAAAGCTGCTAGTGTCTCAGCCAACACTTGTCTTAAGTGATTTAGGTTCAGACTCATTTATGGGAAGAGGGTAGGACTAAACGCTCTGGAGATCAGTTTCATCAGCACCTTCTTGCAATTCCATTAAGTATCATGCCATAAAATCCACTGGAGACTTTCGGGAGGTGTGGTGGGGGTGGGGGGGTGGTGGGGAGGGCTGAGTTACTTGGTTTGGCAGTCCTCATTGATCACACTAATGGGAGGACTGCCAAACAGCCATCTCATTCTGCCTGGGGACAAAAACTTAGTGGGTCCTGTTTACCAGATGTTGTCTCCACACAAGAACAAATCTGCTGACTCCATGTGCCTGCCATCCACTTTGGCCATACAATCTGGGCTCATGAATGAATCCAAGCCAAGTATATTTTTCAGTTGAGCCTGATCTGACCATAATTGTATGAGCCACCTTTTATGCTCAGTAGATACTGCCCGAAAGCTGACTGGCAAGTGAAAAACATGAAAGAACCACCTCCCCTTTCATTTTCTATAAATGAATTTTCCTACCTACTTCCAGGCAAATGCAGAGGTGAGGCTCTGATAAAACTCAGATAGCATAATAACATCTGACATTAATCTAGTACTTTACATATGTAATCTTATTTGAACTTTATGACAACCCTATGAGGTATGGGGATTTATTATCATCATTTTTGTAGATGAGGAAATTGAGGGTCAGAGAGATTGAACAACTTGTCCATAGTCACACAGTTAGGAAACAGCAGAATCTGAACTAGGCACCTGAATCTTGAGTATTCCATCAATCAATCAATCAACAAATATTTATTAAATGTGTAAAATGTCCAAAGGGGACACAGAGGCTGAAAATGAAACAATCCTTGCTCTCAAGGAGCTTACACTCTACTACAACACCATAATGCCCCTCCCAAATGGGAGATCCCCTCAGCTTTAGAAATGCCCTTCTATACCCCAAACATTTATCATTGCCTGGAGACCAAGATGTTTCATTACATCTAAATCAGGGGTTCTGAACCTTTTTTATGTCATGGACCCCTTTTTCAGTCTGGTGAAGCCTATATATGGACTCCTCAAATGCATAAAATGAAATACATCTTACAAAGGAAATTAAAACTATGTTGAAATATAGTCATCAATTTTTTTTAAAGTATGTTCACAGACCACACAGGTTAAGAACTCTTGAAACTGTATATTTCAAAGGGAGGGTGAGGAGGACAATGAGAAGAATAAAGAAAAGAGAAAAAAAGGTCCAGTTACACTTCATGAAATAAGGAAACCCCCATGGAATGATCCATGACTGAGAATGCATTTCCAAACACGTTAGAGCTTAATCAAAGGTTCTGTCCAAAATCTAGCCATGCCAACCAGAAATCTCCATTAACCTAGACTCATGACTCTTCCCTTCTCTTCCAGGGAACATGCTCTCTTTGATCAGAAAGAAGAGGTAAAGAAGGCAACAACTGAGGGTTTTGCTCCACTAAATGTCTCCAGGCAAAATGCTAGGCACTGGCATTCTTACTTTGATTTAAATACAAAAAAGGCATTTTTGTTTTCCAATTTACAGGTAAAAACCTAGTGACTCAGTCTACTTTTGAGGTTGTATCTCTCTATACTTCCACAAATGTCTTAAATCTTCTTACCCCCACAAATGGGAAGCAGTATTTTGGAGAAATTGTTACACTGAATCACCAGGTGTTGATACTTTATCCTTCTGATGCACAATTTCACACTAGGAACCAGCTCCCTCCCTGTTACTTCTAAGTACAAAACTGCGGTTCCAAGTAAGGGTATAAGAAGAATAATTCCTTATCTCTAGAAGAAGCCAGAGCACCAGCACGAGCTTATCAAGTGGATAGAATTCCCCTGCCCTGTTAGGCAGCTGCCGAAGCTAGGCGGGATGGATGATAGAGTGTCTCACCTGTTTGTCTCTCGACCTGTGCTCCCCGACTCCAAACCTCTCTCCTTCTTCCAAGCCTTTACGGTTGCCCACGTAGGAGTTCACCACAAAGCTGTCCCCTGCAACACCCGATCAGCACGGGACATACGGGAAACAGACAACCCAAAGGAAAGGGGGGAAGCAAACTATTAATGAAGGCAAAACCACACACTTCCGAGTGGTTACAAGATGCGCTTCCAGTGACAAGTCAGAGGCAGGAGGCAACCGAACCTCCGACTCTCACTCTGCGGGCTCGCACGGGATTGGGGGATGTTCAGAGGGGGGTCGTATGGGCGGGGAAATCTGGGGGAGAGCCTGCTCGGGAGACGCAGCCAGGAGGGGCTCACCCAGTCTAAAGTGAGGTCCCAAGGTAGCTAGCAGCCGTTCCCCGCCACAGTTTAACTATTTCCCAAACCGCTCTCCAACCCCAGCTGAGAGGAGGGAGATATACAGAATCCCGTCTCTTCCAAGAGAGAAAAGTCTCTGAGATTTCCATACCAAAGTGAGATCAAAGCTTTTCCCTCCGGGGGCTGGAAAAGTGAGATTTGCAGTCGGATGAGACGACTCACTCCAAAAGCTCAGGAGGAGATACCCAGGGTTACTTATGAACCCCCTCCTAAACCTCCCAGGTCAGTAAACCAAGCAGACACCAACGACCACGGCTGCAGGGAGCTGCTCTCCCTGCATCTTCTCCCCAGAACCGAAGGCAGCATCCTCATCCCTCCTCCCGAACACCCAGATGGGAGCAAAGGGACGGGACGAAGCTCTGACCCAGCTAGCACCCAGCAGGCCCGCTCCAAGCAATCCGCAGCCCTTGTAGGATCGCCAGTCCTTCCACCCTCCCACCCCAGCTCCCTCTTTTCTCTCACCTTCTGGGTTTTCTCTTCTCTTGCATGCGGCTGTCGCCAGTTGGCAAAGGCAGAGTAGAAGAGAGGAAGAGAGACGGGAGGTGGGGAGCCGGGAGGAGGGGCAGAAGAAGGGAAAAGGGGAAAAACACTGTTGAGATGCCTGTTTTTCAACCCGCAAAAGGATGCAACATCCCGATGTAAAGTGCCCACTTCAAGCACCTCTCCCTCCCTCCTTAACACCCCAACCCCAGAACCCCTATCTCCTGCTCGATTCCCAACTGCAGCAAGAACTCCAGCTCTTACCGTGTTTGGACTGAAATTTCCCCATTCCGCTCTCCACACTCTCTTCTCTTGCTAATGCAGCCCGTTCAATTCGTCCTCTTCTTGCGGGAGCCTCTTCTTCCCCCAGGGTTCCCACCCTTCCCACCCACCCCCCCCCAGCTCTTCTTCGGGGGTCTGCAGCCGCTACCGCTGGCCCAGACGCAGATTCCCGGCTCCAGACAAGGCGATCATTCAGGTGCAGATTTGTAATCCAAAAACCAGAGGGGAAACCCGAAAGATCCACATGGAATCCGCGCAAGGGAAGCGACCGTGCGCAGCAGCCTCTTCTGTGGCTAGTCTTTCTCTCTCTCGCTCGCTAGCTCGCTCACTCCCCACGCTCAGCTCAGCCCCGGGTCCCAGGGCTTTGGGAAGGTGGGAGCGAATGAAAGAGGAGAGGGGTAAAGGTCTTTCACCTAGAGACAATACACAATTAAGGATGCAGAATGCACCCAGAGATGGGAAGGCGGGAGCGAAAAGCAGCCCCCCTCCCAGCAAGCACAGCAGGGGTAGCGCGGATGCAAATGCGCCAGCGACAGCAGTAGCAGCAGCAGCAGCAGCAGCAGCAACAACAGCAGCGGCAGCAGCAGCGACTGCCGAAACGTGAGAGCAGCAGGAGAAGGCAGGAGCGACCGGAGCCTCCCCAAAAGGTTGGGGAGGGGCGGCGCAGAGAGGCACAGGAAAAAGAAAAAGAAAAAAAAAGGTGCAAGGAAGGGGAAAGAAGGAGAGGGAAAAGAAGGAGGAGGAATAAGAGAAACAGGAGGAAAAGAGGAAGAAGCTCCAGCTGCAACAGCGGCAGCGTGTGCGGGCCCCCAGCTGCACTCTGAGAGCGCGCGCCGGGAGCTTGGGGGTTTAATCGCAGCCCTGCGCAGCGCCCCTGGCGGCCGCAGACTGCACTGCGTGCAGAGACCGACTCGGGCTCTCCAGGCTTTTAAAAAGCTGTCTGCCGAACATGGTGGCTGCCCAGGAGGCTGGCTGTTCACTCCAGGGGGTCTCAGAAGACCCAGGGAGTTAATTCTCCCTCTCTCAGCTCTAGTGGGCGGGGAGCCAGAACGATAACCTAGTTTTTCCAAGATCATTTTCATTTTTGCCCCCAAATGGTATTACGGAGTCCTAAGAAATCCACAGACGCTAAAGCTGTGTCTGCAGACAACAGGGTGAACATTTGACATTGATTCCTGAATGTATTAGTGTTGACAGCCCAATTGAAAAATCTTAGCCAAAAGATGGACATTATGACCCAAATTACACAATTTGTGGTTCGCACTCATTCAATTAGCTTAATTAACAAGATGTCCCTTCATTTTGTACTTTAAAAATATTATATTTTCATATAGCATATTTTGTATATGGATATGCATTTATTTACATTTACATATTTACATACACCTGCATATGCATAGGTATAAAAATAATAATGCTTTAATCTCATGAGCTATTATCAAGATGTCTAATCTCTCTGGGTCTCAGTTTCCCTTATCTGCAAAATGGAGGGAGGGGAGGGAGTAGTGACTGTCTGTCCCTAAATCTATGCTCCTATGATTTTGCCAAATGAATAATATAAGTAAACGTGTTTTGCCTACATGAAGGGACTATATTAATATCAGCTACTATTATTATTCTTTCTGTTAGTATATCTGACAGAGTCCAAACCAATTTCAGGATTCTCATACTCAGAACATTAGAGCTGGAAGGAACCTTAGAAATCATCTAGTCCAATAGCTTCATCCTTAAATGAAGACAATGAAGTGAAAAGCATCTGCAACTGATGTCCTACAATTAGCTAACACAGCTAGTGGTGAAATAAATCCAGGTTTCCTTACTCTTTCCACTCTGCCTCCCCTGTAGGAGAAGAGAAGGAAGGAAAGATATGTAATAAGTCCTTGACAATTTTCCTCTGGGGGGAAAAAAAAAGATGTAAATAGTTTTAGTTAAGAGATAAATTCCCCTGACAACCTAGTTAACCCAAGCAACCCCTAATTCAACTCCAGGGTAACCTGATTCAAGAGATCATCACACTTTTATGGTTGTTTCTTCATCTTCTTCATGCTTCCACATAAAATGGGGAGACTAGAGAAATTGCTCAGGATTTGGTTACAATGTTATGCTTCCAAATCCTTCTTTTGCTTTCCTGGAATTAAGCCCTGTAACCTGAATGGTGCTGTCAGAATTAGCCACATGCTACGGATGACATTTTCTGTAGGCACACACATGAACCAGTAGAGGTCATCACATACCTCAGTAAGTAAACAGGCAAGCTTTGGAAAAGATCCTCCTTTGCCTTTGAGAATAGCTCCATAAAGGTATTTTCTGCTGCACAGCTCAGTATGCTGTCCCTACGAGAATATTTACTTTGATGACCATTGAAGTGAAGATTAACGACCCACTACCAGCTCAAGTAAATCATTTGGAGAGCTCGGATCCTTTCCCAACTCTCTCTTCTCTCCATCATCTTAGATTTCTCTCTCTGCACTGGTTCCTTTCTACCTTCAAACATATACCATAATGTCCTATATTGAAAAAAAAAATCTTCCATTGACCCTATTGTCCTTCTCACCCCAAGGTGTCATTCTATCTCTTGCCTTCCTCCAAGTGACCTGGATTTTGTCACCCTCTCCTTTTTACTCTTTAAAATCACTCCTCTGTAGCTTCCATTAATATGAAATTATTTACTTGTTGGTAAACCTGAGCAAACTGTTCTAGCTTTTCTCAGTCCTCGAGTTTTTCTTTATCTCTCGGCAGTAACTGGTCCTGATGATCACTCTCTCCTTAAACTCTCCCTGGGATTCCCCATGTTAAATTACCCTAATTTTCCTACTTTCCATGCCTGTTTGCCTCTCTAGACTCTTCTTTTTTTTCCAGAGTCTGATACAACTTCCACCCCCTCCCACCACTAAGCTTAGTTCTTGATCCTTTCTTTTCTCTGTACAATCCATTTCTTGGAGAAATCATCCTTGCTCATAGCTTCAATCATATCTCTCTTGCTGGCTCTTAAATCTGTACCTCAAGTCGTTACTTCCCAGTTAAGCTCTAGTTCTGTGATTCCAACTGTCTGTCTATAGCATGTTAACATTGATATTTCATACTGTAATCTGAAATTCATTAGGTCCAAAACTGAATTTTTTCCCCCCATAAACCTGCTCTCTCACTCCCAGTGTCTAAATCCCTCATTCCCAATGTCCAAATCCCTTTTCTCAGCAACACTGTTTCCTCACTCATCCAAGTTTAACATCTTGAAGTTATTCATTCTTTTAGCTAACAACCCTTTTAAAGCATTGTAGGAGGACAAAAAAAAAAAAAATAGAAATAGGCCCTGTCCTCAAAGAGCTTACAATCTTAAGTGGGAGGGCAAGATATGCACATGGATGAAAGTAGTAAATAAGGCAATGTTTTATATACTCTATTAGTCAATCGACAAGTATTTCCTAAGTGCCTACTATGTTATGAGCTAGTTATGAGCTAGGCACTTTGAAGAAAAAAGCTGCCCAGTGTAGGGCACTGACTTCAGCCCCTGGGAACTCTAAAGAACAGTGCTACAATTATGTGTCATACTTCTGAAACAGAACCTCAGGGGCCAAGAGAATGAAAGTTCATCTCCATGGCTAATCAGAGCATAGTGCTAATGAGGCCAAGGTCACGGGTTCAATCCCTGTATAGGTCAATTAACTTTTCTGTCTTCTGTGGCAACAGACTGCACCCTTGAATACCAGTTCATCGTCTCCTAAATGTCAGAGATTTAGAGTATGAGGTATCCAGGACTGAGAAAAGAGTACTTAGCAAAAATGGGCCAAATCTTGTAAGATGAAAAGAAATAGAAATAAAGGCAAAAGACCAACACTTTAAGAAAATAGAATGCACAAGTACAGAATCAGGGAAGTATGGCTACGCAACAGTTCATGAGAAAAAAGAGCAGGGATTTTTGGTGGGCTGCAAACCCAATATGAGTCAACAGTGTGACATGGAAGCCCCCTTCCTCCCACCCTCACCCCAAAGCTGTTGCAGTTTTAGGCCAAGGTCATGCAGAAGGAAGTGTGTGTGTGTGTGTGTGTGTGTGTGTGTGTGTGTGTGTGTGTTGTGCCTGGGTCAGATTAGATATGGACTATTGTGTTCAGTTCTGGTTACCACATTTTAGGAAACACAATGCTAAGCTAGAGTGTGTCCACAGGAGGGTGACCAGGATAGTTAGGGAATGGGAGACCATGCCATATGAGAATTGACTGAAAGGACAGTTAGCCTGGAGAAGAGAAGCCTGGAGAAGAGGGGACAAGGAGAATCTGACAGTGTCTCCAAGGAGCTAAAGGTTGTGAGATGAATGAAGAGTAAACTCTTTGTGGTCCTGGGAGGTCAGAATTAGGAACAATTGGTGAAAGTTGAAAATAGGCAAATTTAGTCTTGGTGAGAGAAACCATCATAACAATTAGAGCTGTCTCAAAGTCTCAAAGGGCATCTAAGGCAAGTAAATGAAAGACCCCCTCATTTGGGGTGGTGGTGGTGAATTCCATTCCTTATGAGGAGACAGGGACCTTAGAAAACCATGAGGCACCTGCTGATGAAGAGGTTACCACTACCCCTTCCCCTTCGCCCAAGAAATTAGACCATTTGGTAAGCTTCTTATTTAACCTAATGGTATTTAATAATTAGTCGATAAGGTCAGTAGTTTCTTCACTTTGGGCATCAAAGAAGCTTGATTATTATTGGGGGTTATGGGTAGAGTGGTAACCCTAGCAAAACATTTATGCTTTTAGGGGCAAGGCTAAAGGAGGACTTGAAGCCAATCTCTCCCAAACCCTCCAACTCTAAGCCTTCAAAGTATCGTGTTCTGGAAAAGACCTTGAGATCATCTAACATTATTTGTTCATTTTGCAAGAGGAGGAATTCAAAGCCCTGGGGGCAGGGGTGGGGGGGGAGGGAGGAGTGCCTTGTCCAATATCACAGAGGAAGGCTCCTTCAACTCTTCTTGATGCTGAATCTGTGCTGAAGTGGAGCTGGAGGCTCGAAACCTCAGACTGTCAGGGCTGGAAGGAATCTCAGAAACCACCTTGTACAATTCTTTTCAATTCACAGATGAGGAAACAGAGCCCCAGGGT